AGAATTCCCCAGCTAGCAAGAATTCCCAACTCCCAGAATTCCCCAGCTAGCAAGAATTCTGCAACTCCCAGAATTCTGCAACGGCCATTAAGTGTGAAAAATGGTCATAAGTCACTTTTTTTCCCTGTGCCATTATAACTTTGGTCACCAAATGAATGATTGTAAGCTGTACCTGTACTGATTTTGTTCGTTAATATTTTTATCTGATGTGTTTCTATGATTGACAATTTTAATGCTTTTTTTAAAAAAAAAAATGCTGGAAGCCGCCTGGAATCGCTGGATAAGAGACGGGCAGCCAATAATCACAATCTTTTTAACCACCTGAAAATCCCTTTGCGGAGTGGAGTCAGCGCAACTGAATGGAACTAGCAGAGCATTTATTGGCCGGATGCCCTTCCCATTGCCAATGTGGAGTTTTGTTCAGCAGATAATATTCTCAGTGTGCCCAGAGAAATATCCGCCTCTACCTAGGATGGAACTCACAACCTCCTGACTATGAGGGGATGGCTCCACCTCTAGGCCACTGCAATGCTCCTACGGGCAGCAAATCCATTTCATAAAATAAATTTGTTTTTGAGAGACTGCAGAACGAGGTTCGTTGTTCATTTTATTGTGTGTGGTTTTGGTTTTTTTTAAGGCAACAACTAAGTGCAACCTGTAATGGAGACACTGGTCAGGTGACAGGAAGCCATTTTCCAGGTGGAATTGGGCACCGAGGTGACAACATGGCCTACCAGCAAAACCAGTTCGATTGAGCCATCTTTGGGGATGTAGACATGTGTGGTTGTGTTCTGTTTGAAGATGAGGTGGTGGTGATAGGCTCAGAGATCTATCCCCACTAAAGCAAATAATCATAATCTTTTTAACAACCTCAATCTTTGAACAAGCCTCAACTCCCCAAAACAACAGTTGGCAGCTGGCAGCCTTGGCCCAAATACCGCCCGTTAGCTGTTAAATCACCTCAGTCTTTCCAAGTTCTCGTTTCAGTTATCTCCCTATTCCATGAATTTGGGGCAAGGGCGAGGAAACTTAAGGGGGTTGGAAGTGAAGAAAAGGGGGGACAGTTTGCTAGATCGCATTGCCACCAAAATTTGGGCGGCATGTAACAAAACTCCTCGTACGGGAGGGCCATTCATTTCCGCGATCAATTGGAAGGACCTGAAAACGGGAGACAAGAAAGATATTGGCAGTTGACCTGCCCTTCTGCAGCTCTACCGCCTTTCGTTACAAATTGGGTTTGAGATTAAACCTGGTTAACCGCGTCCTGATACAGACCGAAACTTCAACTTAGGTTCTGGCATCGAACCTCACTGCTTTTGAAAAGAGTTCTAGACTTTTAAACGCCGCGGATCTTGGGAGTACACAACCGAGTACAAATTTGCGTCCCGGATGGATCGAATGTAAATGCCGGAGGGAGAAAGAGAAAAAGGCTAGAGGCTAAAAGAAAAATGGTGTGCCCTTTTTTTTTCTCTTTGGCTTTTATAGGAGGGGGAGCAAAACCGGCGGGCCGGGGCAGAAAATCACTGCGGAAAAGGCCAAACTCTGCTCCACATCTGGATAAGCGTCAGACGCCAGGAAAGAGATGCGGAATCTTGGCAGTCGTCACATGAACATATCGTCATAATCCGGAGGGCGAAGGTGGTCGGGATTAGGCCTGAAAGAGGAATGAAAAACGCTTTATTGTCTGGGGGGAGATCTCCAAAACCTCGCCACTTTTAGACTTGTGGACTTCAACTCCCAGAATTCCCCAGCCAACTGTGCTGAAATACGGACCAGGAAGTAGCAGACCTGCTCTGGGGTGGCCCCCACACAATATGGAACAGGCTGCCCTCAATGGAAACCGTGATTCGTCTTGTATGGCAATGCCAGAAGACAATAAACATTGTACTTTAGAAGGGAATATGTGTAGCTCATATCGGGTTGAACAATGGCATCCTTGGTGCTCTCTGTTTTTCGTGCAGACGTTTCATGACCCGACTAGGGAACATCATCAGTGCTGTTTATGCAAACACGGAGCAATTCACTCCCTTCTAGCACTGATGACGTTCCTTAGTTGGGTCATAAAACGTCTGCAAGAAAACCACCAAGCTCAGAGAGCACCAAGGACCCTACAGTCCTCCTCCTCCCCTTCCTCCTCCTCTCTGCAAACCCCACTCCCTTCTAGCACTGATGATGTTACCTAGTTTGGTAGTGAAAGGTCTGCAAGAAAACAACAAGCTGAGAGAGCCCCAAGGGGACCCCACAGTCATTATCGTAGTAGTAGTAGTTGTCATCGTCCTTCTCCTCCTCCCAAACCCCACTTTCTTCTAGCATTGATGGTGTTACCTAGCTTGGTAGTGAAACGTCTCCAAGAAAACAACTAAGCTCAAAGAGCACTAAAAACTCAGTTCTCCTCCTCATCTCCACAATCCTCATTCTCTCCTACCACTGATGACGTTAACCAGCTTGGGTGTGCAAGAAAACAATCAAGCTCAGATAAGATATAATTATAAATATAATTATTTGATTTCTATAGCCGCCTATCTAAGCAACGGGCTCTGTGCGGCTCAAAGATCAGAAACATGTACGTTTTGCCTTCAAAATGTTTTTCATTTTGCTTATGTTTTAGAATTATTATTTTTTGTTGGCTTACTTTATTTATTGTGACGAGATGGGCTGCTAGAACTTGGGAGGAAGAAATAAAATAAATAAAACATTTGACTTTTACGATTGGATCCGGCTTTTTGCTTTTAACAATTTTGGCTTTTCTTTTTCCTTTAAACGTTTTTTTAAATACTTTTTAAAAAAAGTTTTTGGCTTTCTAAATACAGACAAGACCTTTGACTGATATGGTCAGGATTTTCAGGTCTTTATGGATTTATTGCAATTAAATCTACGTTTTCCCAGTTAATATGGTTTAAGGAAGTGTGGGTGTCATGGCCCCATCGGAGTCTGAATCTGAGGAGGAAGACTAACAGCTGACAGGGAGTGGGAGTGTGGCTCCGTTGGCTGTGGAGGAAACTGGGGAAGGGCAAAGTCTGGCTGGGCAGAGCAGGGAAGAGGTAGAACAAGGGAGAGGGGAATTCAGAGGAAGACCCAGGCCCACCCCATCTTCATCCTAGGGCATGCAGGAAGGAACAGAGAAGAGAGCAATGTGAGTTGCATGGCTTACGGGGGAGGAAAGGGCCCTGATTCCCTTCATTAGCCACACCTGGGAAGAGAGTTTATAAGAGATGTAATGCTGAGTGCGGCAGCTGCTGGGAACAAACTGTGAGTTTATCTTGTGTTGACTTTGGTTATCTGCGTTCCTGGCATCCTCCCAACCGAGTTGAATTACTGCCGTGCCCTGCCGGACTAATTACCTCAGTTTGGCTTGATTGGACTTTAAGTTACAGTTTGTGTTTACCCTGTTTTGGACTAAATTTTCTGCAGTTAAAGGCTCTTCGTGGCAGAGTTTTTCTCCAGTCAAAAGTAACCAGGACATTGGGGGAAAAGTTGGAGCTAATAAAGGGACTCTTATTGATTATCTGATTGTGTTGCTTTTGTGCCATGCCCCTTTGGGTCATCACAGTTGGGTTTTTTTTTAACTGATGGTTTTAGCACAGAGATGGTTGATGGGAGCAGGAGGAAAACGCTGTCAGATAAAGACATAATCCTAGAATAAAATCCCAGCGTTGTGTTTACGTAAGATGCTTAACTCAGTTATGCAGCTAATCTCAGGCCATCTGGATGAGCTGGGTTGAAACTGGCTAAGCCGCAAAACTACCAGAATCCATCGAAATTAAACCAAGGCCAAGATTAAATTGTGGCACATATTACGCGCATCAATTACAGCACCTGAGGTAAAATGTTAATACAGGTTAGTCTTCGACGTACGGACGTAATCGAGCCCAGAATTTCTGTTGCTAAAACAAGACAGTTGTTAAATGAGTTTTGCCTCATTTTACAACCTTTCGCACCACCATTGTTAAGTGAATCACTGCCTTGGTTAAGTTGGTCACAAGGTTGTTAAGCGAATCGGGCTTCCCCGTTGAATTTGTTCGTCAGACGGTTGCAAAAGGGGATCATGTGACGTCCGGCACATTACGCCCGTCATAAATACAAGTCAGTAGCCTGAATTTCGATCCCGTGACCACAGGGAGGCTGCAAATGGTCTTAAGTCTGAAAAACGGTCCTAAGTCACTTCGTTCGGTGCCGTTGTATCTTCGGTCACTAAATGAACCATTGTAAGTCAAGGACTACCTTGTATTCTTCTTTTGATCCCCATGGGCACATTCCCCAATTTGAGGTAAAATTTAGATCAGGTAGTCCTCGACTTACGACCGATTGGTTAGTGGCATTTCCAAGTTACGACGGACTACTCGTTGAGTGACCGTTTCAAGTTTAGCCCCTCAATGGGTTGTTAAATTCTCAACAAATGGGGGGCGTGCATAAGCGCACCAACGTGCCTACCGTCCCTGTCCTATTGTTTCTCTTATTCTTTTATTTTTCTTATATGTACCCATTTCATGTATTCACAACTATGTATACACTTATACTTATTATCTTGTAAACAATTGGCAAATCAAATAAATAAATAAAATAAAATAAAATGCAGAAGGAGCACATTTTGAAAAAAATCCCACTTTTCAGCAGTTCAATGAGGATTTCCACAATACTTACCCAGGCCGGCGGGCCCCTGGGGGTCCAAACGGGTCAAACCGGGCCCCTGGAGGAATAGAACCAGGGGGGAGTCTGCTGGGGAGCCCAGAAGAGGGGTCCAGGACAGGATTTCGAAATCCCGATCGAAGCGGATCGAAGATCATTCCTCCACCCCGGCCTCTGAGGAAGAGAATCAAGAGTGAATTAGAGTTAGTTTGCTCTTGTGGTTAATGCACCGGATTAGAAACCAGGAGATGGTGAATTCTAGTCCTATCTTATACAAAAAAGCCAGCTGGGTAAGTTTGGGCCAATCGCCAGGAGACTGGGAGTTCTAGTCCTGCCTTAGCCATGAACGGTAACTAGGTGACTTTGGGGCAATCACTGGGAGACTGGGAGTTCTAGTCCTTTCTTAGACATAAAAGCCGGCTGGGTGAGTGTGAGCCAATCACTGGGAAACTGGGAGTTCTAGTCCTGCCTCATGCAGGAAAGCTGGCTGGTGATTTGCAGCCAATCACTGGGAGACTGGGAGTTCTAGTCCTTTCTTAGACATAAAAGCCGGCTGGGTGAGTTTGGGCCAATGACTGGGAGACTGGGAGTTCTAGTCCTGCCTTATGCAGGAAAGCTGGCTGGTGATTTGCAGCCAATCACTGGGAGACTGGGAATTCTAGTCCTTTCTTAGACATAAAAGCCGGCTGGGTGAGTTTGGGCCAATGACTAGGAGACTGGGAGTTCTAGCCCTGCCTTACAGAGGAAAGCTGGCTGTGTGACTATGAGCCAATCACCGGGAGTCGGTGAGTTCTAGTCCCATCTTAGGCATGAAAGCTGGCTGGGTGACTTTGGGCCAATTGCCAGGAGACTGGGAGTTGTAGTCATGTCTTAAGACAATAAAAGCCATCTGAAGTCAATCATTCTCTCTCAGCCCAACCCACCTCACAAGGTTGCTGTTGTGGGGAAAATAGGACAAAGAA